ACTGCAAGCGACAGATGACATGCCCTGGAGTTTTTTAATCGTACGTGCAGACACACAAAACAATAATAATTGGCCTGCTAAGACGGCGCTTAAAACATCCTCCTGTTAAGCTCTTTCTCACAGTAAAACGCTGTTCAATCTTATCAGTCTTTTCTGACTTCTGATTTGGGAAACCTTCTGTTGTCGAAGTCCCCACCTTTCGACAAGAGTAAATGATGTTTTCCTGTAAGATTCTGTCTAGGCAGCCCACACAGCGGCCGTAATCACTAAATTAGCGAAGCTGTGAATTAATGAAGTCTGGATTGACTCGAGATATTCGCCACTTTCTCAGCAGAACTTGACTACGAAGATTGAAGGGTGGGTGCCTACGTCTGGGGTGTGTCATGTGCGTGTGTGAGGGCCTACATGAGTGTGAGTGACCTTAAAATCACACATGGGAGGGTTCATTGTGGTCAGATTTCTGCCTCTGTATGAGGTTACACAATGACTCTTAAGGTGTAGCACCCTAAATTTAAGTTCTAGGCCAGTTTTAGTTCAAGACGAATCGCCGTCACCCATAAAAAACGTTGAGAACAATTCTTTTTCCTGAGAGACTCCAGAAATTCTTTTTACATCCATTTAAAACCGACAGAGCAACGAACTCGTGACTCTTTGGCAGAGCGTTATACTCAACGACCAAAGATTTCGGGTTCGAATTGTATGTACTCCACACTTGGGATGGGCTATGGATGGCACATGACGGTTAATAAGCCAAATTTAGCCATCCCCTTCTCCCTTGTCTTCGTCGGTAATTCTTCGCTGCCTGTTTTTATCATACTATGGGCAGAAAGACACTACCGGCACAGAGGAGAGATGCTTAAAGGGCCAGTTCTGGCTTGTTAGCCGTAATCAGTCAGCCGTAACGAAACTTCAGGTGGTGCACCACCCCGAGGCTCGAACTGGCGACCTGTTGGTTAGGAGTCCAATATTCTAACCGCCTGCGCCACGAGCTTGTTGTCTGACTGATTTCAATAAAGACCTTAGAGCTCAATAAGCATGTGAACGGCATCCACAGGCTGACTGAAATGTAGAAGAAGGCAGGGGCCTTTAAATTAAAAGAGGCACTGACCGAAAAGACACAGATGCTGTGATAACACGTTTCTACGATCTGCCAGGAGGGCCTCTACATGCTATCCTCTCCATACGCGGCACCGTTTCCTATGAACCGTCGAAGTGGCTCTACCAATGGTTTCGTTTCCTCATTCAGGACTCTGGATGAACAGTAAAATCGGTTGAACATATTCTGAGAATTATCATAAACCTTGAAATAGAGTCAGACGGAATGATGGGTTCATTAAGCGCGATCTCCTTATTCACGGCCATTCAAACTGACCTCACTATCAATACCGTCGCTGATGTTCTTCAGAGAAAGTATGATGAAATGGGCCAATGACTTAAATGAAAGCATGTACTCGAACTCCTTGAATTGTGTTTCAGAAAGTTCTTCATTTTCAAAGACCGGGTCTACGAGCAAATGAAGGGAACACCGACGAACTTTCCCTGTCTGGGTCGGTTGCCGAGATGATTCTGCAGAAGCTCGAGTGACAGGTCTTCCGTACTTTCGAAAAGTCTAGCCTAGATACGTCGATGAAACATTGGTCATAATCAGTAGGAACAACGCCAGGGACTTTTAGGTCTTATTGGGCTCAAGATTCGCCGATATCCAGCTTGAAATGGAAGAAGGAAACAAGAACCAGCTACTCTTTCTTGAAGTACATGTTCTAAAGACGGCTGATTGGAAGAAAGGGAATTCGATTTACCGTAAGGCAACGAACACCAGACGCATCCGCCAATTCCTAAGTAACTATCTTATTGCTTACAGATGCAATTGTGTCAGAGCTCTCTTTCAGCGGGTTCAAGCATAGTGTAGCGACGAAAGCAAGAGAAAGCGAAATATCTACCCACCCTATTCACTATCAACGATTAGCCAGTGAAGAAGTGCTCAACTTGTTCACGCGAATGTTCGACCTTGGCCGCCATTCATATCGCGAACAGAATCACAGAGTGCCGAGACCTTGCCGCTAACTTGGCGGATAATTTGGTAGAGTTTTCAAGCGTCACCAGCGTTTGAGGTCTGTTTCATTGAAGTCGCTGTTTCGGACCAATACTTCTGTTGGTCATCCCTAGTCGACTTTCTTGTCAGCTTTCGGAGTTGGCGGAAGTAAGCATCGTTGCAGGACCTGGGATAACCCTGCAACTTGGTCGACCGCTCAATGCGAAGTCGAAACGAAATTAAATAGCATACGATCTCTAGTTC